GTACTTACAGTATATACAGTATTGTGAATTGTTAGTACTTACAGTATATACAGTATTGTGAATTGTTAGTACTTACAGTATATACAGTATTGTGAATTGTTAGTACTTACAGTATATACAGTTTTTGTGAATTGTTAGTACTTACAGTATATACAGTATTGTGAATTGTTAGTACTTACAGTACATACAGTATTGTGAATTGTTAGTACTTACAGTACATACAGTATTGTGAATTCAGCATTGCTGACATAGCTCCCTTTGTGAATCCTACTGAATGTTACAGACTGACGAACATTAACACTTAAGATTTAGTATCAGGTTGATGTTCACTTTATTTTCATTGTCGTTTGGTTTAACATGACTGTTATCCCCTGACAATCAAGAGCCATTCCCCACTCGTAATTCGGGTGACCGATTTTTCCGTTTATGTTGAAAAAGGTGCAGCTCCAAAACCACCAGCCTGATACCGGTTCATGCGTGGTGAACCCAGTAGAACAGTTGTTTACATCCGGTCTATCATAGGTGGCAAATGGATGACCGCTGTTTAGTTGTAGACCGTATCCGCCTCGAGTACAGTTGACGGAGGTGTCGTTTCCGGACGATAACTGGTAGGATGTGCTCGCGTTCTTTACACTAAAACCCTCGTATGTATATCGGTATAGTTCACCTGCATCTGACACCATGTCTATGATGAGTTGGACCCCCCGTGATGTCAACATGTGAATGTATTCAAGTCCCAACCAGAAATCCCCCTGTAGATCACCAAAGCCTCCGACGTAGTCAGCCCAATTCCGGGAGAAGTTGACGTTGCCCACCTGTCTGTGTTGAAGGACTGTCCAGCCGCCAATTTCCTTCATATCGCGCATGTCACAGACAACCCGAAAGGTCAGGGTGTCTCTTGCGGGGGCGACGGTGTAGAGGCCGGAAGTTCGAACCCCGCTATCATACAGCTCGGCACATCCTTTGGAGACAGAAAAATAGATATACTAAAGTTATTCAATAAATCTATACATCCCTATGTTTAGAAAAGACAAAAAAAAAGCACATTTGATTTAAAAGTGTCACCATTTTAAAAGAGCATCGCTCCGGATTGGTCGATCTGCTAATTTGACATCAAGTAATGATACTTCGGAATCAATAATGTATTCCCAAGAGTAGCCTATTATTTGTTAGACGGAGTATGAAAGTTGTGTGAGAAGACCTCCAAACTCGTCATGGAACTGTGGCTCCGTCGCCTACTGCACTGTATTATGGGCATTACTTTTTACTACCTTGCCGTAAAGTTTCCATAGACGGATTTCATTTAAAGTCCATCGTTAGTATATCACGCTTTTTCCAGCTCTTTCCGGTAATGTTCTTGGTTGATTTAAAAGCGATTTTTGGGCTTTAAATTTTGCGCTAAATTATTACTTCCAACTAAAATTCCTGTATGTTATTGTCTGTAGCATATTTTGTCGGAACTCCATATCATCAATGCGCTAATCTGTTAAAAAATGATAACGGCTAAAATGTGAGTGCGCTAAAATAAGTACCTGTACGGTATATTTTTTGTTGCATTTATAATGTCAGTGTATATTTTGTTTTTCTAAAATCCCTGGGTAGTGTAAATCAATAAAGATTTAGGCATTATGGGTGTGGAAATTCTAACTGACATATTGGTGGAGGAACCCATCAGTTACATACGTGTAAACATACATTACACTTCCATATTAACATTCAGTACCTGTACATGGGCCAATTGAACAGTTTCTGTCTTCTGTTGCACTTCCAGGGCACCCTTGCGAATATATATCGCCATAAGAATTCCTGCAGAACCTGGCCCGATTTTGTATTCCTTGCTGTGCACACTTAGCTGTACAATTGCTCCAAGAACCCCAGTTACTCCAAAATGTCGTATCTCATTCGAAAAATAGAAAAGCATGTTTTGTTGATTTCATTTTTTTCAGTATTTATTTTAATACAGGATAAAAATGCTTGAAACTGAAGAAATATAACATGCATTAAATCTTAATATGATCCACTCTGAGATAATGCTGATTACGTCACATGGGCAAGGACATAGATTTTAACAAAAAAAAGAAACAGACAAGGTGAAACAGATGAGTATTATGATCTGTCTATTAGGGCTTTGTGGTCATTTCAGCCAATTCAGTATTCCCCTTTCCATTGGACTGACATCAGTTTATATAAAACCGCGTTCACTTACTTTTATGCCATCGTATTTATTGTTTTATTCAAGAGGCTACATTATCACCAAATCAACATCTGTTTTATCATCGTTCTCATGACGAGGTTTTTAGTACTCTGATCACACACGTATTTTATAACTTTGATATGTACAAGTATAATAACTGTTATCATACACGTATTTTATAACTTTGATATGAACAAGTTTAATAACTGTTATCTTGCATGTGTTTATTATTGTTATTATACACGTATTTTTAACACTATTCTTATGCACGTGTTGTATTACCGCGCACATGCACGTACCATGTTCATGCACGTGTTGGCAGTCCCGGTTGCAGAAGTCGTCCGAACAGCAGGTATGGCAGAGTCGGAATGACCTCGGCATGAAATCCAAAGATCGGCCGAAGATGATGTGTTCTCCAGTACATTCCTTTAAATGTAAAGATGATTAAAACAATCCGAACCACAGCTTCTTTAATTTTCGTATATTCTTACAGGATATCACTATTTAAGATAAATAACATTGTTTTTTGCAGGTTTTTAATTGATTTCTTTTTTCGACCAATTTTACCATGACCAAAGGAATGGTGTTATTAACATTAACTGAAACTGAAATGACTGAATATGCGCATCTTACCGTTTTTCGTTTACATCCACTAGTATATTGATGGCCAAAGGAAACAGATTCGTCAATACTGCAAACCTACAGTAGTATAATAAAAGTAAGTATACAACTCTTTAGATGTTTAGGTGGATTTTTTTCTGCAATAGTTTCCATATTTGTAAATCATATTGCAAATTGAACAGTACGTTTTGGGAAAAATCTTTTGAGTTTGAATCCTTTGACGATAATTCTTTCCTTGTAATATTAGGAATACTAAAATAGGTTATGATCGGTGTTATACATTATTTGATGCGTGAATATATGACTTTATGTAAGTGTGTGTTAGAGTGGTATACAATTGTGTGATTGTGTAACAGAGTCGTATGACATTGTGTGATTGTATAACAGAGTCGTATGACATTGGTTGAGTGTGTATAATTGTGGTATTACATTGTGTGATTATGTGTCAGAGTGGTATGATATTGTGTGATTGTGTATCAGAGTGGTATGACATTGTGTGAGTGTGTATCAAAGTCGTATGACATTGTGTGCGTGTTTATCAGAGTGGTATTACATTGTGTGAGTGTGTATCAGAGTGGTATGACATTGTGTGAGTGTGTATCAGAGTGGTATGACATTTTGTGAGTGTGTATCAGAGTGGTATGACATTGTGTGAGTGTGTATCAGAGTGGTATGACATTGTGTGAGTGTGTGTCAGAGTGGTATGACATTGTGTAAGTGTGTCAGAGTGGTATGACATTGTGTGAGTGTGTATCAGAGGGGTTTGGCATTGTGTGAATGTCTATCAGAGTGGTATGACATTGTGTGAGTGTGTGTCAGAGTGGTATGACATTGTGTGAGTGTGTATAAGAGTGGTATGACATTGTGCGAGTGTGTGTCAGAGTA